AAAAAAAATTGGTTAAATTAGCGGAATTAATGTAGAATGAATGATATTCGGAATTTTTAGCGGACGGCGGTGCGTGTGAACTTGGCTATTTTCCCGATCTGGGCTGGCAGCTACTTTTCCCTCCATGCGAAAATGAGTCCGAAAAAAAAAGAAAGAAATGGAAAAAGAAAAATAGAATCAAATTTTTTCGTTTGAAGCTTCGTTCCCGAGGAAATCGAAGTTGAAAATTTGTCGACCACGCGTGTACCTAATTTTCGGCGGAACGTATTCGAATTCCATCCCTCTGGGAACGAGGAGCTTTTAAATGTTTGCTCGTGCGTAAAATTTTATTTATATCACCGACTGATTTTTAAACGTACGATAAATTTTTCCCATCGATTAATCCCGCAATTGCGAGCGAACGTGTCTTATCCAATTAAAAACCCGTAACAAGTGCGAAGAATATATTAAAAATAAATTTCCTGCATTAGGTAAAATTCACAGAATTACAAATTCGTCGCAATCACCCCGTGTATACTCCCGTGAGATTTTTATTTTATTTTCGATATTTAGTATTTATCGTAGATAATACAACCTTTCAATTGCACGAATATTTTTTAGTACAATTTTTAATGTACTAATACTTTGTAGATTCCTTGTGTTAAGTATCATTTAAGTTTCTTAATGTATTAACCTTTAACGAATAATTAATATAATTAATATATATATAATTATTAGTATAATTAATATATATAATTATTAATATAATTAATATATATATATCAAGATAAGTATATAAATATAATATAGATATGATATAAATAATAACATAGACGTAACAAGCGGAGAAAAATTCACAAAAAGGACTTCACGTAACACTTAACGCGTTTAACAACAATGACAATGATAACAATAATGATTCCTAAACTATTATTTAGTTTTCTTAATATTTTATCAATACTTTATAGATTTCTCGTTGTACAAAGTACGATTTAATTTTCCCACTTTCGAAATTAATAAAAAAAAAAAAAAAAAACACTGGTCTCAGATTTCTGAGCTCCGATTTATCTTGTAAATATCCATCGAGCTTGGATATAAATACTCAATTTTCTCAATTTTCTCAGAGAAAATTCAGACATCGCGATCGTCGTCATCCGACAACTGTCCACTCGCGTTTGTCGCACGCTTCAACTCTCGTTCTTCGCGCAGAATCACCCCGCGAGCACGTTGGTCGCACCACCGGTGGTTACGTGGACACCCTGTATACGTTGCACGCAAGTGCATACGTACGTACGTATGCAGGCTGGTGGAACCGGCGCGCCAATCTTAATACCGTCATTTTTCGGATTCACCGATAATTCTGGGCAGATAGTCTCACGGAGATAAGGCGAGAGCCTCCACGCAGGTGCCTCGCGGCTGGCTCTCCGCGCCGGAGGGGTTGGGGGTGGCAGGACACGGACTTCTCGTCCGCTGTTGCACGAGCACAAGAATCGCTGCTTGCGAATAAAATGGAGATAGATAGATAGAGAGAAAAAGAGAGAATAAGAGTGAGAGAGAGAGAGAGAGAGAGAGAGAGAGAGAGAGCAAAGTTAAGGTGAATCGGAAGAAGGGAAGACAACAAGCAGCAGCGTATAGTCCGTATCCCTTTGTTCGACGCGTGGCAAGATAAATTCAGCTAATAAATGACCGGGGGCTATTTACCGTGGCGGTAGCGCCTCGTTATCCGGCTCACGGCCGTATATATACGCTCGCACACAGTCTCCCCGTGTTTTGCAGCATTTTGAGCACGGCTCAGTATCGGTAAGAGGCCGATAAATCTTGGAGCTTGACTCCTCCGGCGTTTCGTTCTCTCCCTCCTTCCCACAGTCATCTCTCCCTGCTCTCCCTGAGATGCTCCGTCTCCTCTTCATCTTTACCCTTTACCCGCTGTGTCTCTCTTTCCTTCTTCTTCTTCTTCTTCTTCTTCTTCTTCTTCTTCTTCTTTCGTGTGTAATCTCTCGACCAACTGAGACTGCACTAACGGTTATGGGCATTCTGACACTTCATGCTCGATAATGTATTTGTCCAAGTTCTTTTTTTCTTTCTCTTCGACTTCTTCGAAGGACAGCAATTTCTAAATTCGATACATTTATCAGAGGATTGTAGCGTGGAAAATTGGTAGGTTATTGAGGAGAATTAAGGACAAGCATTCAAAATTAATAATTTCTAAGAAAATGTGTTTTTGGAAGAGTCCAAGTTTTTGGAGGACGGCAACTTTTAAATTCGATACACATTTGTCAGAGGATTGTAATGTGGAAAATTGATAGATTGTTGAGGAGAATTAAGGACAATCTAAAATTAGTAATCTTGAAGAAAACGTGCTTTTTGGAAAAATCCAAGTGTCTTTTTGGAGGACAGAAATTTTTAAATTCGATACATTTGTCAGAGGATTGTAGTGTGGAAAATTGATAGATTGTTGGGGAGAATTAAGGACAATCTAAAATTAGTAATCTTAAAAAAAACGTGCTTTTTGGAAAAATCCAAGTGTCTTTTTGGAGGACAGAAATTTTTAAATTCGATACATTTGTCAGAGGATTGTAGTGTGGAAAATTGATAGATTGTTGAGGAGAATTAAGGACAATCTAAAATTAGTAATCTCGAAGAAAACGTGCTTTTTGGAAAAATCCAAGTGTCTTTTTGGAGGACAGAAATTTTTAAATTCGATACATTTGTCAGAGGATTGTAGCGTGGAAAATTGATAGATCGTTGAGGAGAATTAAGGATAATCTAAAATTAGTAATCTCGAAGAAAATGTGCTTTTTCGAAGAGTCTGCCTGTCTCGAATTTTCGTCCCCCTTAACTTTAATGCGTTCAATGTTCGATAAAGTGGCACAGCAAGTTTCAAAGGAAAATCTCAATCTTCAAGGTTAAGGTAGCTGGCGAAAAAAATTCTTCGGCAATTTTGGTGGTTCGAATAAAAGTTTCACGCTTTCGAACAAGGCCAACTGCCTGTTCACGATTTTGTTTCACAATTTGTTTAAAATTTCATATCAAGATGTTACAATTGCAATTTTCACGCAAGAGGTAATCGAATTCAATTTCTCGAGTCCGCGAATGGTCTTTCGTCCACCTCGTCCATGTACATACGTGTATATGAGACCACTCGCGAAGAATCGTGCTATAATGGAGAATATCGGCGCACGGAGCGTCGTGTACAGGTTCCTCCAGCTAGTGGTCATCCAAAGTACATACACACACACACATTCACGTGCAACGTAGAAGTAAAGAGAAGAGTACTGTTATGTCCCGTACTTACGAGGGCGGGTGGGTCCTCGTCGTGAGGACTAACCTGCTATCGCAGGATCAGCGTCCGTCTTAATTATCGCCCTCAGTATCCTCCTCACACACACACACGCGCACGCATCCACACGCACACATACTCACATACGTGTAATACTTACGTCCTTCTCTCGTTGCTTCTCAGGCAATGCCTCGATACAAGCGACTGCTTACTCTCCGTGCTCTCAGAATCGTTTCGTTCGCGTCGCGTCGCGTCGACGATCTCACGGTGGGTTCTTCTGCCTCCCTCTACGAAGAGGAGGAACTCTCCTGCTTGCGAACGCGACTCGCGAGGAACCAGGTAGGACAATATCAGCCGGGCAGCGGACCGCGAGATGCATCAGCTTGTTGCCGTGGAGCCGTGATAGGGCGAGGCGGATGGAATTTGGAAAAATCGGCGCGGAACATCGCGCGGGGAGAAAACTGGAGAGGTGAATCGCAGGAGGTGCCGTTGCGGCGTGTCGCGCGTGTGTGCAGCAAGGATTCGAGATAAAGCGCGAGGCTCGCGCTTCTTCTTCTTCTTCTTCTTCTTCCAGGGAGAAAGGACAACAACGGTTCTTATCTCGTGTTTATGATCCGTTGCCAGCGCGTTTCGATAAAACCGACCGCGCCGCCCCGAATGGGAATCGCCTCGCGTTTCCTTGGTCGTGTCCTGTCCGAGATAGGGGCACCGACTGTCCGCAAATTTGCTCGGTGATAAGCGTCGCCGCTTGATAAAACTTGAAGCCCTGGAGAGGACAGAGTTTTCGTTAGTTCTGCCCTGACGAGGGACGTTTGCCATCGCTTTCGTCGTTCGCCGGTTTTGCACATACGTATATGTACCTACACACCTGAAATAAGTTTCAAATCATGCCAATGGAAATTGTTTAACATAAAAATTGTATGGTTAGAAAGGAGAAATGATGGCTTGTGTTGAGAGATTTCGAAATTTTCAAGTTCGTCTTTATCTTTCTTTTTTTTCTTTTTTTTAATTGTACCGTATATTTCTTTCATCGTAAAGAATATTAAATTTCAAGTGAGAAAGTGTTTTAGCCACATTGGTAATTCAGTTTATGTTTGTACTGTTATCCTGGTATGCAATGATACAAGTATTACCATTTATCATAGATTAGATATGACGACGATAAATTCATATTTTTTGTGAAAACGTGCGTAGTCGCGCAAAAATTTATAATTGGCACTGTATTTTTCCGTGTTACGTGCATTTTTCGCAAATGCACAGAAAATCCCCGGTCTGTTCCTTTTCCTTTCTTTAAAACTGCTGACGATCGTAATGAACGTAGGTACACGTTTGGTATTGCACGATATAACGTAACAGTATAATATCTGAACAAATGCTTGTTGTTAGAGCAAAAACTGTAATAATGAGGAGCAATTGTTCGTTGGAATAATTCGCGTAATTTGGAATGATTCACGTATAAACGGGGCCTCTTTGTGCTTCGTGCGAAAGTTTATAAAATAGGGGGAGGAAATTATTTTTCGGGTGATTGAAAGTACGTATGGTTAACTGCTCATTATACTATACTTGTCCCAACATGATGGTTGATGATTTTAAAATAGTTGCGACAGATTTGAAGATTGAAGCCTATTAGAAGATTGATTTGATTACTAAATATACGATTTGATCGTTAAATATTTTATTTTATTATTTTATCATTCCTTGTTGTGATATCTTGTAATAATCGCTGTACTATTCCTTACGTTAATTTTATTATATTTTCTCAATATTTTTACATCTCTTACCGACACGCTCAGAAACGTCCATTGAACACGACCGGAGCGAGTTCAATTTCGAATTTTTGCAACGATGCTCCTCCTCCCTATCTCGATGGACAATTTCCGATATAAACATTGAGAAAAGAGGGTGGTATAGTGGAGTGGCATAGTAATCCAGTGAAATAGCGCAGCACCTGCCCATTAACCGGTCCCATTCGCAATCGGAGAATTCCTGCGTTTAGGTAATTCGAGCCGCACAACAGAGTCTGCGGCTTAAATATCCCGTGTCAGGCGGTTTGAACTGGCCATTCCCGGGACCGCGAACCGCCGCAAGTATTTATCCAAATTACACGACGACCGTGCCGGAATGTAGCCCCCGTCTGCGACGATCCTCTCCGCCAGGTTTCTCGATCGTTTTATCGCGCAAGACGACGCGAGAGCGTACAGCGTCTTGCGAACGTACCTGAAACAATCCTGGAAATCTTTCGCTTCATTTCATTTTATTTCTATTTTATTTTATTTTATTTTATTTCTTTTTTTTTTTTTTGAGATTTCATTGGTATCGTGACGAAGTGGACGACGTATGTTTACGTAATTAGAAAAATGGAACTCGACAGACTTTCACGGCGAACGTGCATGCACAATAATGTCTGTAAAATTTTTGAATTTTGAAAAATATATCATTTTGTAGATTTTTTTTTGAAATTTCTCTAAAATAACATATTTTTAGTTACCTACGTATCCTTATGTTGCACGACATTTTGTAGATCTTTTGAAACTACATAAACTTCTCTAAAATAAGATTTTTAGAAACTAAATTTCCGCAGTCTGAAATGAGACACACAACTCGAACATTAAGTGGGATCATTTCTAACCATTTTCGACCAGTATTTCATCATTCAATTTCATTCTTGCAACTATGGCTAAAGTAAAAGCTTCTATCAATGTGCTATCATTTCCATTTCTCTGTGAAGAAATTTTCCTTCTCTCAGTTTATATAAAACTCTCCAAATCAAGTCTACTTACAATGCCAATGAAATTTCAAAGTGTTTTGCATAATGAAAAAATTTCGTCCAGCAAGTGGCCAAATTTCGAACGCTTCCGCGAGCCACCGTAGAAAATAAACGATTGTGGAGGTGAACGAGCGAGCGAGAGAGAGAGAGAGAGAGAGAGAGAGAGAGAGAAAGCCATCCGGATCGTTTTAATAATTTACGCGGGAACCGATACCAGGCGCGGAAAATAAAGATGTAGGCCCGGGACGGCCATTTTTCCTCGTTAATTGAAGGAAGCAAGCCCTTTTGCTTGGTAGATCACGATAAGCTTGCAGATCCACCAACCAAACAACGGCAAACCGAGGGCCTCCGGTTTGCGGTAGAGAAGCGAACGCTTCTTCGTTCGCCTTCCTTCACCGTGTACAGGTTGCTTCCTGTCTGGTAACCATTTCTCTTTCCACCGTCTACGAATGCACATCCTCGTGCATTGTGCACACGATAATGACGAAGAACGGCCGAAGAAAATTATCTATTATCCTTCTCGGTGGTGGAAGAAGAGAGAGAGAGAGAGAGAGAGAGAGAGAGAGAGAGAGAGAGAGAGAGAGAGACAGAGAGAGAGAGAGAGACAGAGAGAAGCAGAGACCGAATAGGTATTACGGATACCGGTATTTTTAGAGTGCGAATACCGGTATGATGCTATCAAAACGATGTTAGATCGGTAGATGTATTTCAGTATAATACCGGTAAATAAAATATTAATATATTAGAAAAGGAAAAGGAGACAATGATTAAATGTCTTCATAAAGCTGCCGTAAATTTGATGACGCTTGTACACGTATCCTTTATTATTTCTAATACTAACTCATCGTTGTATCTCCATACAATATCAGCCACGATACTCTTACTTAATTTTAAAAGATGACCGATTTCTCGATACGTTTTTCCTTTCTCTCGGTGAAAAATGACTAATTGTCGTACGTCGATAAATCGAAAGAGGAGTTGAAACAACGATTAATCGTAGAATAGAAGAATATTCCGCTAAATTACTTAAAAAAAATTACTGGAAATATGCCTAAGCGTCTGCGATATATTATTGAAGTTAAGGAGTACCTAACAAAATATTAATTATTGTTTATGTTAACAATTTTCAGGTTCAGATATTGTAGTTCTTCAAATGTCCGAATATTTTTGCCACGCTACATTTCGACATAGTTCAGTTTATTGTTTGATATTAAGAANTACCGTACCGGTATATATTTCGGTATTTTTACCATTGTGGACATCAAATACCGATAAAATACGTATGAAAATATCGGTATGGTCTTATATTAAAACCGATTTTTCAAATAGCGGTTATATTACGATAATATGGGAGCAAATACCGGTATAATACCTAAATCTCAAGATATTTTGGTTTTCAGTTTCTGAGTTGAAGAACTGATTCGTTGGCCCCTTCTTTCTCAAAATGTAATCTGATCGATGATCGATCATTGTGACTAATATGAAATGAAAAGAATGTTAATCATTATCACTGATCGAATCGAAATCATTGCAATCAAAGATGGATTAATTGATTGTAAAATGATTACAATTTTAATTGTGATTGTATCGGCCAAATAGAATATCAAATGGTAAGATATACAATAAAATAGCTTAATGACTTGAAAGTTACTGATTACAAAAGTTAATGAGGATTGTTGATTTATTTGAACGATTAATTGATCAATGATTACGGTTATCGTGCGTTTTCTCTTGAAAATTCTGCAAATTCAAACATCTTTATGGACATTGAAAAATTCATTTCCGAGTGAAACTCACTACGTTCTTCTCCGAGGATTGAAGTTTCCTCCTCGCAACTTTTGATTTTTCAAAATTGTACGATTTTCTTTCACGATGTTACAAGAGTTTAAAATATGGACAATTTGTCACAGTATTTTCACACTCGATGAAAAATTGTCGACAATTTCAAGTGCCGTAACTTCGTGAAAAGAGATCGTAGAACAATCTTCCTCGGGCTCGTTTTAAAGCGCGAAGTTTCTATTTTCACAGCATTGAGTTTGTTTCCTCCCTCGATATTCTTACGTTACCCTGAAATGATGGAAACAAAAGATACCTTTCCACCCGAAAATTTCGCAAATTCAAGCTTCTCGAAAATTTTTTTCCGAACCAAATTCATTGTCGTTTTAAAGATTAGAGTCTCCCATTTGCAACGATTCTTCGAAATTTGTTGCACGATTGTTCTATTTTCTTTTTTTTCACAAGAGTTCGAAGTATCGGCAATTTTTCACCAACCACTAAAAATAATTCTAGATAGCCAGCTGTATCGATATCGCAACCTCGAGATCTCTGAACACTGTAGAATGACATTTGTTGGAGTCAGATTGGTACACCTGAAACACGTGAGATAACTGTACCGTAGTTATCGACGGTAATCGGTATCAGAAAAGTAGTTTGGATAGTGTAGCCACGTGTAGCCATTCTCGTTAAAATTAGATCGAGTCTCGAGGTAGTTAATAGGAAACGATACTAGGCGAAACGTGCAAGGTTCCACCGCGGAATTTGCGACGTAATTGCCGATTCATTGGCGGAACGTGCTCCGCCAAAAATCTAGACTCACTCCAGTCTTCCAGAACTAGAAGCCTGAAATCGAAGCGAGCTCGCCCGGTCGCGCGATTTTTCCATCTTCGCTTCATCAAAATTCAAATTCACTTGCCGCTTGTTAATCGACCAATTGAACGGCCCCCTTTCATCGGGCTTCCTTAATGGCCCCTTCGCTCGATTAATCTCCGTTTCTAATCACCGTCCCAATTATTCCCACGCAGCTCCAAGAATCAATCTCGGCCGCCACGTATTCTACGTGGAATTTCCCCTTGCCAAGTTTACGTGGTAAACACCGTCGTTAAACTCTGTCGTCACAGCTACCTCCCCTCTCGGAAAATCTACGGAGAATCTCAAAACACAATTCGGCTCGTAGTTTGCGGAAACACACGAAGCAGGGACAAACGCGGCGGAAAGATCGGGACGACGGAAGAGGCGAAACAGATGTTGGCAATTTGGATCGTTGGCTGGTTCCCTTTGATCGGTGATAATCCGCGATTCGTACGCGTAGCCGCGTGCTCTCGTCGGATCGACGAATGAGAGGAGCAGACAGTCACGCGAAAACAGCCGATGACAAAAAGCTTGGAATCGACGCTGGCGCCTAACCTTCGTGTCGTGATATCACCGACCACCAGCGAAGAGAAGCCAGTCCAATTAACAATTGGGCTCGCTTGCTCGTCGAATTGGCCCGCAACTAGGCCGATCAATTCGTTTCATTAAATTGTTAGATTCTCCGTTAGAATTCCTTTCGTTTCCTTACTAAGAGGAATAGAAGGCGGTGTTAACATCTTGTGCTGAAGTTTATGTCGAGTATACTCGTCGTGCAGGAAAAAAAATTCGCTATTTATTGCAAAATTTAGGTAAAAGAAATTACATATATTTGCAATTTTAGTACATTTCAGAATACGTTTCTAAATGTCTTTAATTATTTTAATTTTAATCAAATATGATTTGATCTTTTTTTACGTCTTTTTATGAAATTGATGAAAATTCAAGTCCTTTTCTCCACGTTTTTGAATTTATAACGGTTTCTTTTTATAGCATAATTTTCAAAAAATGAAACGTTAAGCTCTGTAAATAGCAATAAAATTAAAAATGTTTCAAAGAAACATCAAAACAATTTATCATTTTGTTACAACGTTTAACTCAATCTTGCAGCAAGTGTAATACTGTGTTTTCGTCGAGTATACTCGTCATCGCCTAGAAATAATTAAGCACACATTCTCAGAACAAAAAGAAACGCTTAAGGGGTTAAGGAATTGTCTTCTTAATGAGAGAGAAGTGATTCGCGAGATCTTCAGTATCGTTTGACCATTGTTTCAATCGTAAAATCTTGATCGTTCGTTTCAATATCAGTATTTTTGACAGTGAGAAAGAGAAGTTGATGGAAATCGCATGATCAATCAAGTCTGAGCGTACGTTCGTGTTGCCAACATTGTTTCGCACGTGTACGTAAAACTGGATACGTAAGTGATTGTTGATTTACCGAGGAATTTGGAGGTGCGGACGCGTTATATGAAAAAAACTTTTTTTATTTTAAAAGTTATTTTCAGAATAAACGTACCGTGGTTAGTAGATACGCGGTGAAGAGCATAACTGTATCAATAACAACGAGAAATTCTTCTCGAAAATGATTTTACATGATAGAGCGATAGATGGTTTCCTCCCCTCGAAATTCAAACATTGGAAAAATGTTTTTCATGAGTAGATTCACTATGGTCCTGAAGATTGAAATTTTCCTTTTACAAAGAGTCCTTAATATTCGCTACATGATTTCTCTTTTACCATTTTGAAACGTTATATTCATGAAATAAAAATATCAGTTCTCTTCTTGCAAAGACAAATTCGCGCCTATTTATCAACAATTTAATAC